TCATTTTGATGACCTTATCATATTTTATCATACTAATTTCTACTCTACCTTCCTAGATTTCATTCTCCTGGGAACTCCATTTAAACTATTCCAACGGATTCCTTCCAATCTCTTTATTTTATGATCTCATTGGAAATCATATAAAGACAACTCTTATTTAATATAGCTATTTGTGCAAGTATTTTACGATTAAGAAGTAACTGTCTCTTGTAAAGATTGTGTATAAATTAATTATAACTGAAGTATACTTTATTCTACGAATTACTGCATTTATTCGAGTGATCCACAACTGACAAAAATCTCTCCTTTGTCTACCTCTATCCCGATGAGCCGAAACCAAAGCTCTTATTTTCTGTTGAGTAATAGTACGAGTAAGTCTTGAATGAGCCCCTCGAAAGGTTGATGCAAATAAACGAATTTTTGTTCTACGTCTTCGGGCTATATACCCTCGTTTAATTCTGGTCATTGAATAAATGAAACTTTGATGAATAACTAATCGATTTCCTTTCTTTCAGTTATTCCCTTCCCGTATCCTAGTCTATTAATAACAAAACGGATTCTTCCAATGTATAAAATTTTAATTCCAATGGCTTTTGCTACTATAACCTTCCCGACCACGATTTTTTTTTTTTTTTTCTAGGTGAAATGCCTAGAAAAAATTGTATTGATATTAGGTATCAAAACCACATAAAAGTTGTAAATAGAAATGGATATAGTGGGTTCCATCGTTTCTATGGTTACTTCTTAAACGGTGAGGTCCTCTCTATACACCGGAGCCCTTCTTTCATTTAATCAATGTTATTGTTAACTTGTACAGTTCACACTCTTTGGCTCTACCCATAATTATCCAGTACGAGGTCTTTCACAATGAGATCTACTTATACAGTAACGGTATTTAATTATGAAGATTAGCTGAGTAGCTGACCCTGTTAGTCCGTTCTTGCAAGAGTAAGGCATAATTTTTCTGCTTTTTAAAATAGTATTTCCCCTGCTTAATGGATATCATTTGCTATCAATGGAGAATTCTTTCTCATCTTAAATTTAAAACGGAGTTGATTGGATTTGCACCAACGGAAACCATACATTTGATACCACAATAGAAGGATAGATCTTTTTGATTTTTAGATATTGAATGGAGTTCTTCCATTCTAGTCTATTCACTGGTACTGATCGTTGATACTGGATCAATTGTTTTCTTTCTTTTGTCCTAGCCCATGATCTGAACGAGTCGCACATACACCCTAGTACATGTTCCTCGTCGCTGAGGACATCCCCCAAGAGCGGGGGATTTCGTGACATTTCTGATTGGCTGTCTTGTGTTTCTAATAAGCTGTTTAATAGTTGGCATATTGAATCATATACATAATGGGCTGGTTTAGATCGATCTTAACCGGATGATTATGAATTATTTTATTTCTATATTAATAGATTAATGAATAGAATATTAAATCCGGTAAGAAGATAAAATCTCAAATCACCAATTCGTCTGAAATTTTTGTTATTTTTTCTTTTTTATTCAGTCGCTACAAGATCAACAATTCCATGAGCTTGGGCTTCTGTTGCTGACATAAAAACATCTCTTTCCATATCTTCGGATACAACCCATAAGGGTTTGCCTGTCCTTTGTACATAAACCCTTGTGACGGTTTCGCGCAGCTTCAAAAGTTCTTCCGCTTCCAAGATAAATTCTCCCGTCTGTGCCTCATAAAAAGAACTAGCAGGTTGATGGATCATTACCCTGATGATATAACATAATAAATGTTTATTCTATCTCGCATGATGATAAGGTGAAGAGATAAAGAATAATAAAATATATAATTGAACAACCGTACAGGCATCTTTTACGCATTGCATACGGCTCTATAATGGAATTCGTTTTTACCTTACTTAAATATCAAATAAATTTCATTTAAATTAAATATAGGGTCTATCAGACTCGGGTTGGTAAATGATCCAATAACCACCCTTCTTTTTGTTTTTGGAGTAGTTCAAAAATACTATGATGGCTCCGTTGCTTTATATATTTATTTCGTCTGTTATTTAGCAATCCCACACAACCAAGATGTAGGTTTTGTGTTGGCCACATCATCAATTAATAAAAAAAATTTAACAGTATGTGGTACATTGCAACATAATGCAAAGTCTAAGTGATAATAAAAAAATTTAAAATTCAAGTGGTAAATATGCATATCAACAAAAATTCTAACATTTGAGGAAACTTCTTTTATAAAAATAAAATAAAATAGGAAATCGTTATTAACACTCTGATAAAGTAATACGGATCGAAAAAGAAAAAGCGAAAGAGAAAGGAATTGTTTATTCATAGTGTTCACGACCACCATATTTCCAAATCCATTCCTCTATAGGATATAATCCAAGGCCCAATACATAAAATCTCACTCTACACAGAAGCCCTGTATACACGAAGGGAAGCCCAAACCTCAAATCCCAAACCAGATAACTTCTCGTTTACTCTCCGACATCGATAGAGTCAAGAGTGTTTCAGTGATCACTCAGATCACTTTCCACTACAGCAGCAGCAAGCAAACTGCATCATCCTCTATGGACCCGCTCTCGGCCCTCCGCGACTTCACAATCCGCGGTGAGCTCGACAAGATCGTCCGGATCAACGACGAGTTCCGGTTCGGCTCCGACTACAGCTTCCCCTGCCACGCAGAGACCGCCTACCGCTCCAAGCAAGGCAATCTCTACACCCTCGAAACCCTCCTTTATTACGTCAACAACCACCATATCAAGCACACCGACTACATCCAGTGCGCCCGCACCCAGGGCATCCCCTCCGTCACTTTCCCCGACCGCAAGCCCCTCCTCGACTACCTCACCGGAAAGATCTCCTCCTCCGACTCCATCGAGTTCCTCCTCCCTCCCCAAAACGACGCCGTCCACCTCACCAAAATCTCTACCACCCTTGATTCCGCCAGCAGCGACAACGGCGATTACGACTGCCTCGGATTCTAGGGTTTTTACTCAAATCGAGACGCCGGTGGACTGCATGTCGTTGATTTGCTCCAGCGAGCGCCCGTTGAAGGACCGGGAGGGATTGCTGGAGTGTAAAGGTAGGAACTTTTACGCCGTTTTGACCTCGGCGACGAAGCGAGAAGAGGAACGACAGCGTATTGAGTCCCAGCAGAGGAAGGATGGGCTGGTGGCGAAGAGTAGGCTAATGGGTTCCGACGAGAGGGGCATGACCGGGTTCGGAGACGAATCAGGTTACGACCCGAACCCGAAGCCCAAATTGCACCTCAAGGGGGGTAAAATTGGGGAAGGTGTGCCCATAATTTTGGTGCCCAGTGCTTTTCAGACGCTGATCACGATTTACAATGTGAAGGAGTTTTTGGAAGATGGGGTTTATATACCCACTGATGTGAAGGTGAAGCAGATGAAAGGGGCGAAGCCGGACTGCGTGACGGTGCAGAAGAAGTTTAGCAGGGATAGGGATCGGGTGGTGACTGCTTATGAGGTTAGGGATAAGCCCTCGGCGTTGAAGGCGGAGGATTGGGACCGGGTTGTGGCGGTTTTCGTGTTGGGGAAGGAGTGGCAGTTCAAGGATTGGCCTTTCAAGGACCATGTTGAGATTTTCAATAAGAGTAAGTGAAAACTTTCAGTTCTGAGGTTTTAATTGCATTGAGAAATTGTTATCTGGGTCATTGAGATTTTAGCTTTCTGAATTTGTTTTATGTGACCTTTGAAAGTTCATTGTAGCTGATTTCATGTGTTGTTTGTGTATGTCGTGTTGTGATGCAGTTATGGGGTTTTTCATGCGGTTCGAAGATGATAGCGTGGAGTCAGCAAAGATTGTGAAGCAGTGGAATGTGAAGATCATCTCGGTGAGCTATTTTTGCCATCTTGAGCTTCCTTGCTTCTTTGTTTTTAGATAGTTATGCTAGTTAGGGTCTTGCTTTTGTCATTAGCATCAGTGTTCCACTTCATTCTTGTTTTTTGTTCTGCTTGTTGGTCAATATTGAACTGTGTTCTAAATGTGCAGATTAGCAAGAATAAACGACATCAAGATAGAGCTGCGGCATTGGAGGTGTGGGACAGATTAGAAGAATTTGTGCGGTCAAGATCACATTCTTGATGTGCATCAAGTTGCGGAAGAAAGAGATTATAGCAGTCATGTTGGTGCAGGTTGCGCTTTTGTGCTCCTTCAACTTTTAAGTTTTGCTATCAAAATGTTGAGGATTTTTTAGGATATGTAACGTTTCATTTTTTTCTGAGGAGTGATGAGACTATATCAATCTAAGAGTACATGGAGATGCTTGGCTGAATATCCAGGGTTGGCAAGGAGAATGGCTGAGGATAGATACTTGAAGATGGACTTGTTGTTTTACATATTCGCAATGTTAAGCAAACCTTTGCCCGACCATTGCAGATATGCAGAGGGTTTCCTAGTCCATCTAAAACTGATTGAGAAACAGTGGTCCGCGCCATTGAACCTTCTTTTCCTGAGGTTCTGCAAGACTCTGGGTGACATTCATCGAATGCAGTATCTTCACATATTTGCAAACTAGTCGGAAGGTATCCAGGTCCAACATCTCCAACCATCTAGGGGGACAAACTGCGTTATACAGCTAACGCTCGTCGTGGAAGTGATGTGTATATCCGCGAGGACGGAGATTGAAAAGCCTATTTGTATATTGTGATTGATGTTTATGATCATAATTCTAATTCAGTTGATTGTAGCGGAAGATCGTCGATAGTGTTTTTTGATTGGAAAAACTAATGAAAAGGGTTTGGAAACTTTGAGTATAACGAAAATGACAAAATAAAAGATAAAGAGAGTAGTACATGATTGACTTTTTAGTGTAAAAATGTGGTTTTTCGTTAAAGTGAACAGTATCGGAAGCTTTTCGTTAAAAGGTTTTTTTTTTTTTCACTCAAAAGCCAGAAAACATTTATTATCAAAGAAGGGACTAGTACAAATACCATATCAACCTCTCTGAGGTTACAATGAATATATCTATAATCTAACAACTGAATTCAAAATAATAATCCCATACGTTAATAATCACAAACGGTATTATGCGTATAACTCAAAAAGTTTGGCCAACAGAAACATATTATGTGTATTACTCGAAAAGTTAGACCAACAGAAAGAAAATCAGCACATTGTGAAGGTAGCGTATGCTGTAGCCAAGAGAAGAAACAGTTGAGTCGGAGTGGACATCTTGATGGAGTATCCGTCCGACATGCCGCCTTGAGTCGATGGTACAGTTTTTGAACCGGTTCCTGCACGATTTGAACACCAATACAAAAATTTAGCGTCAACCTCACAGATGAAGCAGAGGATCAAAATTTCAACAGATTCATTCGCAACTAAAAGAATCATATGAACTGTTTGTGTGCCTGAGGACCTTCATTAGGAGAGTCTGCTGCTCCTGTTGGAGAGCCAGCCGGAGAAGCAGCTGCGCAAATATAGCGGTAGTTCAAGTTATTAGAAGAAGATTAAAACCAATCATTAGAATGTGAGCATCCAACTGAAATTAATTGGGTGAGAGGCCCAAGATCATTTATGCTATTAGGGAACGCTTCAATTCTCTGATGTAGGATTCACTCAAAACACCGACATAAGACACTGAGCATATGCAGGCTTACCATTGCACTTGCTGAGTGGTGGAGTCTGGACATTGCAAGCACCAGGCAATGCCAGAGCCTGAGTCTGGTTCACATTGATCCCTAGAGATGATCCACCGCCATTAAGGACCTCACACAAACACTGTGGGGAGGAAGCAACAACGCTGGCGAGCTGCGAGCAGCACCCGGAAGAAGGGGTGGAGGAGTTGCCAGTAATGTAACTGAGGCAGGGTGACATGCTGATGATCACGTTTGTGCAACTAGACTGGGCTGCTGCCCTTGCCAAGAACATGGTCACTAGGACAAGGACTAGAGACATCTCAAACTTTTGTGCCATTGGAATATAAGTTTTTTTGGGTTTGTGTGGGAAGTGATTGGGAAGCTGTGGTATATCTGAACTGGGATTTGAGTGTTTTGATTTGTTTGGTGAAGTTAAGGGGAGAAGTATGGGGCTTTTTGTAGGGGGGGGAGATGAAGAAAGAGGACAAAAATGTTGGCTTAATTGGTAGCCTAAAAAATGTTGGCTTAATTGGTAACCTAAAAATTGTTGGCTTAATTGGTAACCTAACTATTCCTACTTGTATTATGTCACAAAAGGTTCTTCATTTTGTTATGAAGCTTTAGATTTAATAATTTGATTCAATTGTTGAATGGCTTAGCTGGCTATGGAATAGTACGAAGGTCGGTTATTGGGTTACCAACTTCTACCGTTTTTGGCATAGATTAGATCCCAACTTAGAACTTTTAGATATTCAAGGACAAGTTGTTTTGTATCTACTGGATAACTCACTGTATTTGTAAAGTACGTCGAATTAAACATGAAAAAAACTTATACCTCTCGTGCAACCAAATTTTAGTCTTAGTGACGTTATCTCCAATAAATACTTACTACGTGTTAGAAAAAATTATATTACCTGTCCAATGAACCATTGACACATTATGAGTTGGTGACATGAGAAAGCTTCTCCTTCCAATCCTCGCAAATGGCACACTCATAATTTTAGAAGAATAAGTTTATTTTGTGTCTAATCGATTTTAATCCCTTCAAAATAAAAAATATTCATTTACTTCTACGTTCAAATAGATCTTAAATTATAATTTATTAAATCCAGGTAATAGGCACCAAACGAGCATCGTAGAAGGTCATACCACAAGAGAGATGGCCGACAGCAAAACTCAAAGCCATACTTTATTCTATCTAAGAGAACAATATTTACCAACTCAATCAATCATTGTTGGCTAAAGTACTTCTATCTTTCATTTTCTCTGTACGAGTAATATTAGGAAAGTGAATCGCACAACACGTCAAACTTAAAAACTGATATATACTCTTAAGTTAAGATAACAAGCCCTTCAAACAAATACTTGTTAACATAATTACTTCGCCCTTGAAAGAGAAATTTGTTAAGATAATTACTTCTTAAATTGCCCAGATGCTATTTTGAAAGAGATTTTGGAGACAATGGTAACTACATTTCTTTTTATTTTTAGAATATTGCGCATGATTTGTTTGACAATGACGATATTTTTGGTAGCTTGTAGAACAAGGAAAGTTGACCTGAGCTTATGATTGTGAACAATGAAGAAAGTTTAACACCTGTCCACGAGATGAGGTAAGGTGAATTACTCTTGTCCTGTATTTGCATGCTTCTCACAGCATATCTATGCTCGCATGCTGGTCAGCAAAAAGTTACTTGTCATATGATTATCCGACCCCTTTGCTTGAATAGCAAATGTGGAACGATTTCCCTATTATTGTGGCCTCGTGATACAATCATACATATAAAAGGAAATGTCTTATTGAACGAGGGCACTGCATTTTGGTGAACCCTAAGTCCTTCTCCTAAGCCTGTAACAGGAAAATGATTGTTGAAGCCAATTCTACTCCTTTATTTTTTGTATTTCAAAGTTATTATTATTTTTCAATAATTATAGAGTTTCAATTACATAGTTACAAAGTTTGAATTTTTGTGAATAGTCAATAAAAATTTGTAGATCTCTCGTGGTCATTCTTAGTATTTGTAGATAAAGCTTGATCCTACGAACATATAGGCGAAAACCATTCGTGAAACGGAGTTGTAACGATAAATTTACAAACGACTAAAGTTGGGGCAAAAATGATCATTGAGACCTCTGTAAATAGAATTATAGAAGGCCCCATATATTTTGGGGAGCCTTCCTATTTCTGGCGAATTGACTCGTGAGTCGACTGGGATCACCCTATTGCAGCAAACTCGACCTGCCTCCTGGGCGAGTTTACTAGGCCACTAGACTCCTCTCATCACCACGAGCACAACTCACCCCAATTCGACCATGTTTGGCCTCTGTTTCCAACAGGTGGTGCTCGACGGCTTCGAGTTGTCTCGACTGGAACTTGTCGTCACCGTCCACCCCGATGCCAACTATCACCACAAGTTGATAGCTCTTAAGCCCAGGAAGAGATCCCCACCCCTGATCATGCAGTTGAGCAGCAACGGCGACGGGATGAGGCTTGGCCGCCACGAGCGACGCTGCATGGCCAGTAACCCGACTTTGCTTTCCAAGGCTAATTTCGATGCTCTAATCAGTTTTTAATTTCCGGTGGATGTGATTCAGTTGGTAGAGCCTACTTTTGTAAATGGCCTCCACTTGACCTTTGTTGTAGGCAAACATTCGACCATTGGATCGTTAGGAAATTTTAGTGTGTTATTGTGCATATTATTTGATGCTTTTAGGAATTTATGGATCGAAAATCTAATGTGCCAATCCTTCAAAATTGATTACATAGGGTTGTTGATCGTATTGTTGATCCCGTTGACTCAAGGTTAACTTTCAATCAACATGTTTCGAAACATTCTTGAATGTTGAAGTTAGTATTATTAGATACCTAACAGAGCCTAATGAGCGTACCTTGATCAGTGTGTCATCCTGAAAGATGCATCTTGATTCGTGTGCAAGTGGCACCTTACTAAGATTTACGTGCTTATTATGCTTCTAGGAGAGAGTTGATAATGTGTGATTGCTAGTATATGATGATGAATTAATAAATCTATTAGAATTTCAGTAGAACTAGTATGTATGAGTATTCAGTGTACTGTACTTCTTATGATTAGATCATACTTGGTTGATACGTGACACCATTAGAGGTATGTGTTCACTATGGAAATGAATGACATATGATGCATGATGTGTGAAAATGAGACTATACCATGTAGCAGTGTGGTACATAGATGGTCTTGCCTGGTTAATCATCATTGGAAGACCATACTATTAGTTGACACTCATGGTTTTGCCTATTTAATTTGCATTGGGAACCATGCGCATACTAGGCGTGACTTTGCTTGGTAAATCCGTATTGGGCTGCCTAGTGTTATTGGATATGGTCCTACTTTGTTAATATGTATTGGGGGGCCACACTATTAGTTTTATGCATATGGTTTTGCTTGGTAATCCGCATTGAGGGACCATACGCATTCTTGGGGTAGTTCTGTTGAGTTAGTCTGCAACCCTATATTCATTTGGATTCTGTTGAGTTGGTCTAGAATCACACTTCCCATTTGATTCCGTTGAGTTGGTTAGCAAACCTATATTCCTCTAGATTCCGTTGAGTTGGTTTAGAAATCCACTTCCAATTCGATTCCATTGAGTTGGTCTGGAATCTCACTTCCGATTTGATTTTGTTGAGTTGGTCTAGAACCCTATATTCCTTTGGATTCCATTGAGTTGGACCGGAATCCCACTTTAGATATGGTTCCATTGAGTTAGTTCGGAACCCTATATTCCTCTGAATTCCTTTGAGTTGGTCCAGAATTCCACTTCTCGGTTCCATTGAATTGGTCTAAAACCCTATATTCCTATGGATTTTGTTGAGTTGGTACGAGATCCTACTTCTGTTATGTTGAGTAGTCTAAAATCTATTGATTTATACATTTAGTTCCATTGAGTGATTCTGGAACTCTAAGTTTTCCTGCTAGATAAGGCCATGATAAATTTTGGAAGTCATTATAAATATAAGATGTTTTGGGGCTTAACAAAAGGATGCACTACGAATGGCTTGATCCCGTCATAGGATACGTAGGCAACCGAACCTAAAGGTTAGTTGCAGCGATGCAATAAAAGGAATTTATTAGTACTACGCAATCTAGCTCATAAATTTAGTCACGTTTCAAGATTAAATTTTCAGAATATGACAATTATTTGTTGTATCGCTACAATTACTGTCCTGTCGTCACATGTCAATCTTGAACTTATATTAGAATCGGGGCGTGAAAAATTATTTCTTTTACATATCCTTTTTTATAATTAAATGATTCTTCTCTTTTCATGAAAATTTAAAAATCTGCTAAACGAAATAGCAACATGTTCATAGGTAATTCTTTTGTTGATTCCTAATTGTGTACAAGTAGCATAATTGGCTTAGTTTTGGCTCTCAATTTTCGGGAGTCCTTGTATTAATGAGAAGTCAGATAATAACAATGACTGAAATTGAGGCAAAATTTTTTATGTAACTTGTTTATCATTATGTGTCAATCTCTCACACACCACATGATTGAAATTGGAGCAAAATAATTACCATTAATTTAATACCCTATTATGTTCTATCTCCCAAATCACATGATTAGACCATGTAATACGTGAAATAAACACATATTGATAACCGTCGATTACATGAGAGAATCTCTCTAAAAGTGGAAGGTTTGGAATGATTGTTTTGCATGGATCCAATGCACACCTCTTTCACTTGGTGTTACTTAATTTTGGTCACGCTTTCATTCTTTATGTTCCTATTAGTATGATTCTATTTCTAACAGATTTGAGCTATGAACCAACCATATGAAGCCATATAATAAAACCCAGGCTTGGACGTTTCTTAGTCAACAAGTCTCTGCCCAAATGCAAGTCAAAATATGCTTCATAAATATGCCACATAATACTAATCCCACCTACTCAAAAACCCCATTTTTTCCACATAGTTCGTTAAGGTAGTTGATCTCCAAAAACCAACTCCAAATATTCACGTTTCCTTCTTCCCTCCACTTCTCCTTAATCCCTTATAAATTCTGTCACCCTTCTCACTTACAAACACAACTCACGATTCACAATTCACCATAAAGTTGTACACATTTCCAGCTCCTACGGATCCACAAATTTCCTTCCAATTTCGACACAAAATATCAGAGACAATGGAGATTTTCATGCCGTTCCCCCGTCTAGTTATGGCAATGGCAGTGGCTCTGATCCTGGCTCTGCCAGTCTCCGCCCAAGTCAGTTCCCCTTGCACCGCCAACATGATTTCTAGCTTTTCCCCTTGCATGAGTTATCTCACTAATAGCAGCGCCAATGGTACATCACCAACCGCCGCCTGCTGCAATTCGCTAAAATCCGTCACAAGTACTAGCAGGGACTGTGTGTGCCTCCTTGTGACTGGAAACGTTCCCTTCCAGCTGCCAATCAACCGGACTCTAGCCCTCTCTCTTCCTCGTGCCTGCAACATCCCCGGTGTCCCTCTCCAATGCCAAGGTTAATTTAAAACTCTTGTAATTTTGACATGCTTTTTCAGTATTATCAACATGTTTAATTATGTGTAATTTTCTATATGACCACTAACATGAACATACGATGCTTATGCAGCCGCTGGTGCACCCAGTCCTGCTCCAGGTACCATTTAGTCTGACGGTTTGTAATTTTAGGTTAATATTGCCTTGTCAGTCAGTCGGACATGTTACGATATTGTTTGAGATTGACAATGTAATATCATAACAATGTTGGACCGTCTGACAAGTGAACATTTTCGTATATTGTACGGTTGTTAGTAGGTGAACTAATGCTGTGTAATTGAATTTGGCAGGCTCCCTGTCGCCAACTCTTTCTCCTGGAGCTTCACCATCTGCTCCAACAGGTATTTTCTTAAATAAGTACATTTTCGAAGAAGCTTTGTAATGTTAAAGCGCTCAAATTGGTGACGGTTCTTAATATTGATATGCCTCGCAACATGCTTTCTGTTGAGCAGCTTCCTCTGTCCCAGAACCCACCTCATCAGCTGAGTCACCGGAATCCGACAACACACAAGGTTTAACTCCACCATCTACAACAGGGGGCTCTGCAGCTCCAACTGCAACTACTGGGAGCCGCCCGGTTCTGACTCCATCAGCTGCCACGCCCTCTTACTCGCCTTCTCTTCTGCTATTGGCATCCGGCGTTCTAGCTTTCAAGTTTTTCTAGGCTGATTATTTTATGTTCATCTCTATACATATTCTTTCGTACATTGTTGTATGAGTGTGAGTGTGATTCTTGTTTTTTGCTACTTCAGATCATTGTAAGCCATGTATTGGTGATTATTTATTGTATTTGTGAAAAAGATATTTGTTTCGTTTCATTTGGGGTCCCTTCAAAAATTCAGTTTCAGTAAATTACTTCGAGACTCATGAACGGATGACATAATTTTTTCTGTTTTCGTGTGAGAGGTTGCATCGATCACTCACTACTCACTCCGCCCTAAATGAAAGAATGTTAAGATGCAATTGATTCCAACGTTCTTGAAGTTCTGTGTGGAGAGAAGAGTGAAGTGCTTGATGAAATGAGTCATAACTCATATGGTTATCGCTTGTCCGTAATGAAAAATGATTTCGGTTTCTTTCTGTTGAACTCTAAGTAGATGGATTCGAAGTTCGAATCTGTAACCATGTGGTTATCTGTAAATTTGAGAATTTGTAAGCATTTATATAAAAGCTGGGGAACAAGCATTGTATTAAGCTTTAATGAATTCTCCATTTCCTTCGCTACAATAAATTGGTGAATATTGTAATTTTTCGAATAATGATTAGTTTGATACTTCTATCAATTTCTTGTTGAGCAATGTTAAAAAAGATCGTGTTATTGCATATATGTCAGTCGGCCAAGACAGTGTGCTCGGCTCATGAACTGGAAGTCAATTCCTTTTAATATATTGAAGTTGTTTAGCTACACAGTTTGTTAAAAGAAAAATTCTAAATGCCGCCAAAAGGCTAAGCTTGGGCAGTTATAGATCACGCTCTCTTCGTTATTAACTGCCTACTCACTCAATCCCAATTCACACAAACCAGAAAAGGGCACTTCTGGAATTATCAGAATTCCTCTGTTTCCCGCCATTTCTCTCAAACTCTCAAGCATGATGACCACCACTGCTGCTCCTCCTCCTCTCATGGCCATCCTCCTAGCCTTGACGCTCGTCATTCTCGGCTTGGAATCAGCAGAACCGCCGCCGTCTCCGCCACCTAGTTGCGCCGACGAGCTCGTGAGATTCTCGCCTTGCCTGCCGTACGTGTCGTCTCCGCCAAACAACCTCTCCGACTCACCCCCACCCAAGTGCTGCGACGCGTTCTCGCTGTCGATGGAGTCCGGCGGCGCGCTCTGCCTCTGTTACCTGGTCCAGGATCCTCCGATGCTGGGGTTTCCAGTGAACGGGAGTCGCGTTCTGTCTCTGTCTTCCACTTGCCCTCTCAGAGACATTTCCACAAACGCAAGTGCACAATCTTTGGAGTCTCTCTGCTCAGGTTCTTCAATTTTCTTGAACATTTTCTTCTGCCCAAATTAGGATTCTATATATCGATTCAGAAATTACCAAACTTATTTTAATTCTTGACGCCATGAATGTGAATTTTAAAGAAATTTTGGTTCTCAAATTCCAATTTTGTTGCGTAACTGCAACAGGATCACCAGAACTCCCTCCTCTCGGCAGCTCAACAATTTCAGTGATTTCAAGTCCTCCTCCTTCAGGTAGTTTTAGTCCCGCTCACCCCATGATTTTCTTGGATTTTTTTTTTGGTCAGAGATGTGATGCAGAAACCTTTGATTTAGCAAGAGCCCTAAAAATCCCATTTTTACTATTATTTTGCAGGTTTTGATTCTGTGGACAATGCTTCATCTCCTCTCATGAGCTTAGCACCAGAACCAGCATACAATTCAAGCATTCCGCGGGGAAACAGATTGCCAACTCCGCCAAGCTCAGCGGTAGAACCTGCAAGGATTTCAGCTGCAATGAAGCAAGTGTACGTGAGCAACTCTTGGATTCTACCTGCCCTTGTGAGCTTTCTTGTTCAGATATTCATCTGATGCTTCCTACATTCATTGAGACTTTACGTGAAAACTTCAACGCCCTTTCGGCATTTCATGTACTGACTTGATCAAGAAACTTGTGCAGTTACCCTGTCACATTGGCATTCATGAAAAATTGTACATTCACATATAAATTTTGAGATGACAACCTGTGTTAGTTGAGTAATGAAGTGTACTGAAATTCACCCACTCTCATTTAAGTTTCATCTGCTCAACTTATAAAATCAACTTTTGTCATTCCCGCATACGAACAAATTGTAGTTCTACTTGAAATTGGCATCACAAATCCTGCTCAAATAGTTCTAGCTAGCCTCTAGGATTCATAGTAAAGGGCGACCCCAAAGCCAACAAAACTCTCTGCTTGAGTGTCGGGAGAATGTCCATCATCCATAGTCTTATCCTTGCTTTGCAAAGAATTTGTTTTCACTAAGTAGTAAATAATTCGTAGCCAGACGGCCCGGAACTGGTCATTTTGTCAAAAGGAAAAGTAAATAAATGATAACAAATAACCAGTCATTACAAATGAAACTCACTTTTAAAAGACCATTTCTCCTTCCAAAATACAAGTATTCCAGCAGCATTCACATCACAAGTTCAAAGAAGAAGAGAGCTACTGTGAGCATTTTCGATAGGTTCTGGAGGGGCATCAGATTCACTTACTAGAGCAAAGGAAAATTTAGCCAACAAAAGTTTAAAAGTATAATAAACACAAGTCAGGTGATGCTTTTAAATGATCAATCATGCAGCAGCAACACCGGCATCCCTGATGGACTCTCGCCATGCATATTCCCTTGCCCCGTCCTTGTCAACAATCTTGATCACAAAGTTTGGGGGAGCCACCACCAGCCTTGACCGGATCTCAATGATGCACTTGTCGACCAAGTCAATTGCTTCCTCCACGGACATGCCACTGTGGTAGTGCCTGTCCATCAGTGAGAGTGCGAAGTACGACCCATATCCAAAGGCTCCCTTCTCAACCTTGTGAAGAGTGGCAATGTAATCGATGTAGTAAAGGGATGCCCCAGCCTCCTTGTCAAAACCAGCCATCAAGATGTTCACCATGTATGGATTCTGCAAAATCAAATTTTTAAAAACCAGAAAAGAAAGAAAATATCAACTATCAACTATTTAACTCTATCTACTAATACAATCTCATCCCAGCATCTATCACTCATTCATAATAACTGAATTCTCTCTGAAGGTAAAGTCAAAAACATCCCTCTAAGGATAAACTTAGCCGTTTTCTTCTTGATGAACAACAAAATAAATTAATTGTACATGAAAATTCCAAGTGGACTTTGAACCGGACAAAGAAAATGGATAACTATGAATTGTTACAATTCACAAAATCAATAAAGCAAAGGTTTGCGACTCAATAAGGAAAATCATAGCACGATGTAATCACCCTTGAGATTTTAAGCACAACCCCCCTTGTTTATGAGGCTAGAGCCATGTCACTTTCAACCATACCCATGAGAAGTGAACTGGTAGTGCCTATAGCACCGGTAAAGCCTGCTTGAGGAACACAAGTTGATTACATAACTTTAGGAATATTACGTAAGCATATTCACTTTTTCCTGAATAATACTTTCGCCTAGGAACAGCCTAAAAAAAATAAGAAGCATACATAATTACTTGTAACATCCAGATTTGCCCTTAACATTCCAAGCGTTTGATGAAAAGGTATGAACATCCATGAGATAAAGTTCTAGAATGTAGATGCAACATTGTTTGAACTCATACGTAAGCAGTAATTCAAAAGGAGGTTTAATGTATAAAACATATGGGAAGAAGGATTGGTAGGATATTCTGCAGACTAATAGGGTTGGACTTGAAGGCAAGAAGTCACTAGAATTTTAGTATTGATTCTGGAATTTTAGTATTTTTTAGTATGCCTAATTAGATTCATAACTCTTGTCAACCCAGATTGTATCGTCATATAACTAGCATCTACAGAACCTACATGCATCACTACCAGATTATTTGACACACAAATTTTCAGTCCCTGATCACTTAACTTGGCAATATAACTTTAACTCGGTAAATTACCTCTTATGTGACTGTCAATTAAAGCATACCATTGCGAGATTTACTCAAGTTATAACTAAACCCCAATCAAACCAAAACAATGTGCACAAAATAAAACATTTACCCTATTCACATATTTAATCTTTTTTCGGCTTGAACCCGCATCATGTAGTTAATTTCCACATTGTTTCATTCTAACTAAACCCCAATTACCATAACTCAACAAAAACCCTGAGAAAAAAAAAAATATAAGATTACTAACCTAAACACCAGATCCCTAATACTGGTAAAAAATCCAATCAACCAAACCATATACCCCAAAAGTTTATTTAACGTATCCAAGAAAAAGCCCATACCTTTCGCAAGGCAGTGGCGAGCTCACCGCGGGTGAAATTGGCAGCAGCAGCGGTGGTCAACGGAATCCCGTTCCGGAACTGGTACAATGCCACGTTCTTCTGTATGTATTCCGTGAACTGAACCCTAATTTCCCCAAAATATTCAAAAAAAAATCTGAATCAGGATTCAGATTCCAGAACACGATAATCGACAATCAAACAGAAACCCAGAAACGAAAATTAAAAAGAAAATATTTTGAACCTGTCGCCGGGCTCGCCGCTAGCAGCGACGAGCTTGTGGGAGTCGAGCACCATGATCTTGTCTTCGTTGGACTTGTGGACCAGTATGCTGTGCACGGCTGAAGTGTCCGCTGCCACGACAGCGAAGCCATCGCCTACCAAACCGAAGATGGACTCCATTGCTTGTTGATCTGCTGGCTTGTCGAGTTTCGATCTCTCTCTCTCTGGGTTTTCTGATTTCTTTGGAGCTGGGGTACACTGTATTCTCCTCTTGGGTTAAAAAATTTGGAGGTCATAGCAGTGGAGGCAACTTGAGCAACAAGTTCACTCATTCAGAGGCCATTATTGGGCCGGGCTCAAGTTTTAATCTATGTGTCCAAATCCGCTTATATGGGCCGGTATGCGGGCTAGCAAGGTTAGGAGTTTAATTATTTTCCTACGTTCATTTTACGTCATCTCTAATGAAGGTTAAGAGCTAAATGGCTCAAAAAATCAAACCCTCCGATTCTCTCTCTCTTAATTCTCTTAGTTTCCCCACTATTCCACAAAACCAAAACCATGTCTCTGTTGCTTCCTATCTCTTTCACCTCTTTCAAGCAAAACACCACACAATCACCCTCTCTCTCTCTCTCTCTCTCTCTCTCTCTCTCTCTCTCTCTCTCTCTCTATATATATATATATATATATATATTAAGGGAATTATTATTAGCACTCAAAAAATCTCATTCTACACTCCAAATTTTCTATATTAGGAAAGAAAAATACACTTGTGAGGAGTGTAGAATGAGATTTTTGGAATGTCAATAACATTTCCCATATATATATGTTTATGCATACACAGTTGCTATTGCAGCTGCTTTTGTATTGTATCTTATTCATTAGAAGAAATAGATAGGGAGAGTTTACTGGATCGATATGAAACATGTAAACCTATGAATACAAATCATGTGATTTTACTGGATCGATAGTTCTTACTGATAGTGTAATATGAGAGAACTATATATGATAGGCTGATAGCAGAACACTTTATAAGGTCGACTAATTATGATCAATATGCTTAATGATGATCCATTGATAATACAAATTATGTTGTCTCATTCATCTATAATCATGTTTATTACCCATAAACGTATAACAAAAAAGTACACAATTTCCTGAGGTGAATAGAAAAAGGGCCAGAAGCAAGTAAAAGAAAGCACAGAACTTGGCCGTTTCTAAATGCTTGGCGACAGCACAGCAACTAGAAAGAGGATTGGAAGAAGAACGAAGGAAGTGCATTTCAATTACATTGGTGCTACTTTGGTGTGTTTGTATAAGTAAAACACCAATGATAAGATCTGCCCTATATTAATGTAAAGTAAGCAATTTTAAACACTAATTGATGAAGATATATATTGTCTGATTCGCTCATCAACTAGAATTTATCTAGCATGCTACCAACACTCTATTTTCAAATGGCTTTTTAGTCAAAATGGTCTATAAGATTGGAATAACTCCTCACTTTAGTCCCAAGATTTAAAATTGATAGAAATGGTCCATAAGTTTGTCTACCATCAATCATTTTTGTCATTCCATGAAAAATCTCCATTAAATAAGAATCAAAATGACAAAAATACTCTCAATTTGTCACAAATCATTTTAGCCCATTATTTATTAAATTAAGAGTATTTTTGTTATTTTAATTCTTATTTAATAGAATTTTTCATGAAAATACCAAAATGTTGGTGGTCGAAACTCAAGACCACTTCTATTGATTTCAAATCTAATGAACCAAAGTTAGGATTTATGCAAATCTCATGGATCAATTTTGCTAAAAAACCTTTTCAAATTTAAATTTTTTCACCCTCTATTTCCCAAACTGCCCTTAAACCTCGGAGTAGCTATAAACCTTACAAGGAGGACCCCTGATGGCTCTCCAATCCAACATCCCACGTTATATTTCATTAATAAAAGAGGCCAATACAAGGTTTAATACAAATGAAGAACATGACCCATAGAAAGATACTTGAAAACAAAAATCTGAAACTACATAACATGATAATTCCAGATTTCGCAAAAAACTGAGAGACCAAAAATACGTAACACGGCCAAATACTACAACATCCACCTCGTATTAATCTTTGATGAAAGAATTAGATTCCATCCGGATCCCATTTTTCAAGAATTCATTCATCATGTATCGTGCTGTCAGAAATTATTTGACTTTTTTTATTTAAAATTAAACACAAATAGTATCTAACGAAAACTGACCAAACGATGTGCAATAAACAGCTAAGATGTGGGAATCTCTAAGATCCCCACAAAGTGAATCCAAGGATCCTCTTCCTTTGATGAAAACCAACACTACAGAACATGAGCCGTCACTCTTATTTTTATGGTAGTTTATGAGCTAGTCACATTTATTTATTTAGCATTTTTTTTTTTTAAATAAGAGGCTCACACTTCACTACATGAGCCTAGCTAATTGAAAACCCTAGCTCAGCATACTAGTACCGGTGCTCTACATACATTTGGATTGCGTCAAAGTGGATACTTTAATTACTATCACTGCTTAGTCTTGAATTGAAGCCAGTCAGGTGAGGAATGGTTTCTTCCTTCTTCGCTCTTCTGGGTTGACAGTGGCACGAAATACGATTGCTTCTGATTGCTCAATAACTGTTCCATCTCTTTCCCAAATGTCAGCTGCTTGGCCTCACTCTCCATCATTTTCATTATGTTGTCCTCTTGGCCTGCATGTTTAACGTACAAGCAGAGTACATACATGGGACTTTTTGAAAAGTTAACCCTTTCTTTAGAACATTGTATAAGGCCTTGTTTAATTTGGTGGCATATTGGATTGGACCAAATAAACCACTAAATTCAATATATGTTGATTCAAAACGCAGCTATCAACTTTTCGAACCTTGTTCAAGTTGAAGGTAGGAAATGAATTAAATAGAACGGAACCTTGGACAAGATTGAAATTAAGTTGACAACCATTTATCGCTCAACATGCATTGAATCTAGTAAAATACTACCAGCCAAACGAGGCGTAAAGACTTGTAGCCACTTTTTTCCAAGATTTAGGTATATAATCGCTCGAAGCATCCATGTCTCGGGGGTGCTCGAAAACCCCGGTTAAAATTCTAACAGTTGAAAAAATGGGCCCAAAGTGTATAAGATTTAAAAACTTTGGCTATTTTCAAAAAGCATTATACACACTCACACCCAAGTAATGCTGTGTCTGAATCGACTCGTTTACCTGCAAGGAAGTTCCTAATGTTGTTTGGGGCATTGATTCCGAATCCCACAATTCTCAGATTCTGATTTTGGTTGTTGCTCTCATCATTGTCTTGGGAAACAAAAACAACAGGACGACCTGCTGGAACCACAAAGACATCACCGAGTGATAGTTTTCCACTCACCTTGGTGTACATTCCACTCTGTTCACCCTGGTCTTCTTGGTACTCAATCTCTTCTTCACTCCCTGGGAGTGTGAACTGTGGGGATGCCATTTCAAACCATCCCGTTCCACTTACCACCATCATCAAATACGTTGCTTTGGAATTGTAGTGTGGCACCATCATAGTTTCCTGCAAAAATAATTCATAGAATTTTAATTTCACTACTGCTATTTATACGCACAAACTTGACACATTGTTGACACACTTTTCCTTAGTGTATCTCATATGTCCTCAAGGATAACCAACGAGGACAAATACACAAAATTCCCTGATAAGATCTGTAAACTGTTCTAACAAAAATTAGAAGTGGTAATTTGGGCACTAAATTTGGACACTATAATTTAGGTACCGAGTTGAGACACTGGTCCAAGGTACCGAAAAATATTTTCAATAAAAACTCTAAATTAATGATGACATCATATGCGTATATAAATTTCAAATTCTTGTGGATTTTTTTTTTTTTTTTAATTTTGCTTTACCGAGTTGATCTCAACGATAACGACTGAGACATTCACGTCTAGAAGCTGGTTGAACTCCTGAGGGGAAGCCTCATAGAACTTGCCATAGTTATTGGAATGAAAAGGCTTCTGGCTTTGCAGGTTGAATTTTAAATCAGTGTCCTCAGATGACCACCAAGGGACTAGTTTGCGCCACCATGATGGATCTTGTTTACTCAATGCCTTGAGTTGCTCTTTTGAGGCTTTTATGATCATTCCCTCCGGCCTCTGCTGTCCTAAGGCCTTCTCTAGCTGCTCTCTTGGAGTCTAATCATAATCAAACGTTTATATATTAATTGGAACTAACAAATTAGTATGAATCAAATTTCGAATTCAAATAAAAAGGAAATTAGAAAACCAGAAAACGGTCATGATCACTGTGAGAATTGATCATTCTATATTACATTAAAGGCCGCTTCAAGAATGTCATTGCTGAAAACGCTGTAGTATGACTCGACATCATCCAAAATGCTATAGTCTTCTCGATCGCGAATTTTATAACCACCAGGGAAGAATTCCTGCCGCCAATATACATAGCAGTTACTGTTACAATTTTTTTCTTCCTAAACGAGAATAGAACAAAATTTAAATTTAAATTTCTGTGTAAAAACTTTAAATTTGATTTGGTTTTCTAACTAGCTAGCTTAGAAATTCAAAAAAGGAGGGGGAAAAAAACAAAACGAAGGGATGTGCATGATTTGATATTACCTCAAATAGGTCAGGTATGTTGACTGGCCGAATGAGCTGTACGAGGCTAAGATGTTCACTACTATGATCGTTAATTAAGTACGTGGTAGCCCCACCTGGAACTCTAATCACATCTCCTTCTTCAATCTTGAAGGACTCTTTCTTGTTCTTCACCACAAAAGTAAGAGTACCCTTTCCTAAATGCGATTCCAAAACAATTAAACAAAACAAAAGCCAGACGTATACTTGATAAATTTATTACAGTGAATGATATATCAATGTGGTATATATCATCTCCCTACCATTACTCGTGGATTATTAATCCATATATTTGGGCGGACCACATGTTTAATATTTTATGAGTTCATGCGTAATATTTTATCTTCATATTGAAACCTATTCAAGTTAATCCAAAATAGTTGAACAATGCTTCCTCATTCGTAGGCCTTCTGCAGTGGTTTTGGTGAATTTGACATTTATATATAAATCAGACACTGTGAACTTGACACATATTTGAGTTTTAAATGTTAAATATGAGACTCGTTTACGGTTTCTTTATTTTATTTTATGAGTAGTTACATCTTTCTCTCTCTTATCCTTTGTTGTATAGGCATCATATTTAGTATGAGTTGAATATATTGAACTAAAAATTAATAGTAGCTTTATAGCATTCAGAATGTTCAGCTCACTGTTAGGATTTTGATTCATAGATTATTTTTTTGACTTAATGCTAGCGATACCACTTATTTAGATTACATTGGTATACCATGTGATTGTGGCAAATCTATTAATTGACATGAACAAGTCACTTACCACATCAAATAATACACTAATACGATATAAAAATGTGACCTCTCTTGTCATTGCGTATTAATATCGAGCAAATGCCAAAACAATATTATGTCGCATTATACCACAATAATTGTGTAGATCATACGATATATAGAAGAACTCACCGGCGGAAACAACAAAGGCTGATTCAGCATCAATGTGGTAAGGGAGAACAAAAGTTCCAGGCGCAGTTAGAAATAAGGCCAAGCGGTAGTTTTTAATTCTGCCGCGAAGGAATGGAGAGAGCCTGGTAAGGCTGTTAAGGACAACATAGCCACCTTCTTCAGCCCCAAACCGATTCAATAACGTAGATTTAGGGAAGTAGTAAGGGTTGGGATTACTAGTCGGCTTCTCATCCTGATCTTCTCCGCCTTGTTCCTTTTGGCATTGTTTCTCTAATTGCCCGTCTAATCGCTCTCGACACGCCGCTTCACACTCTTCAGTATCCTCACTGGTTTGGCAACTTTGCCAGCAATAAAAGTATTCCGTTCGAGGATCTTCTTCCTGACGGGATTTTAGCGAGTTACGGAAAATGCCTCTGCAAATTGACTGCTGGCATTCCTGATCATGATCATTGACTGAGGAGGAGGCTAGGAAAAGAGTTGAAATTAGGAGCAAGAACAAAGGGAACTGCCTAGCTCTGAGGATCGACATGGTTGCTACTTGCTCTAGCACATATGACGTCGAAAGAGCGTTCATCAAGTGCATATAAGAGAGGCTGAGCATGCATGCATATTTGTACATTTGGCTATGCACATTACATGCAAGGCGACTAGTGTCCTAACTATCTGACGAAAGTGATTGGCGTGTGACACCTCTTGATCCTCACGTGAGAGAGAGTAGATGAATTTACAGTAGTATTTAATTTGTAGAGGGCTGTTGGCATATAAGAGCAGCTCCAGCGTATGAAGGTCCCTTAATGAATAGTAATTATCTTTAATGAACAATAATTGATTTTTGTATCTCCACCTCTAACAAAATAATTTTATTTGTAATTTCAAATAAGATTTTTAATCGTTCTCGTTGTGCTACGTGTCATTATTCGAAAAGACAATTTTTGGTGACAGATTTCGATAAGATTTTTATCCAGTACCGTCGTGTCACGTGTCGTTATCTTTTCAAAATTGTTGAGGATAGATTTCCGATAAGATTTTTAACCAATCACATCGCGCCACGTGTCACGATCTGTTTACAATCTTTGAGGATAGATTTCAATCAGATTTTTTAATGAATGATGGCATGCCACGTGGCATTATTTACAACCTAATCCTTTCTTTTTCCTCCATTTAACCCACCATCCATCCTAAGAAATTACACACTAAAATCAAAATCTCTATTATTATTCATAGTTTCTACTTCCTTTTTACAATCTCTTCGTCAAGGATGTTGTGGGAAATCGATGAGCAAGAGAAAGAATTGTTTAAGAAAGAGGAAGAAATGTTCAATCTCCAGGTAGGGGAAAATGAGATGGAAGAGGAAGAGGATGAGAAGCATAAAAGGAAAGATGATGAAGTAAGATGCCAAAGAGCCTCACATTCTCATCTAGTCATCCAAGCTATGGCTCAGATGTCCAGGCCCAACCATTCCGCAAATATTGATAGAAGCAGGCAACAACAAGGTACGAATCTCTTGGACAATTATTTTGTCCATAACAGTGCATTCCCTGATATGTACTTTAGACGTCATTTTAGAATGGAACGACATTTGTTCAACAAAATCATGATTGATGTTTGCAACCATGATTCTTACTTTGTGCAAAAGAAGGATGCTTTTGGTGTTATGGGTCTCCTTCCTGAGCAAAAAATTACTGATGTCTTGCAGATGCTTGCATATAGAGCATCTGCAGACCAAGTGGATGAGACAGCGAGGATGGGGAAATCAATCATTCTTGAGTCCCTAATGAAGTTTTGGAGACCTACTGAGATGGACTTACAAAGGCTTCTGAAGAAAGATAAGATGCGAGGTTTTTCTGGGATGATTAGCAGCATCGACTGTATGCATTGGACCTGGAAAAATTGTCCAAGTGCATGGCAAAGAGCTTATAGGGACAGAAAATGAGCAAAAAGTATCATTTGGAGGCATGGCATCATTTGATACATGGATTTGACACACTTTTTTTTGGTGTTCCGGGAGCTCAAAATGACCTCAATGTCTTTGCCCAATCCCCAGTGTTTAATGATGTCCTGGAAGGAAAAGCACCAAGAGTCACGTATTGGGTCAACGGACATAAGTACCACAGGTTATACTACCTAGCAGACGGAATTTACCCAAGGTGGACATCGTTTGTCAAAACAGTGCCACGTTCGCAAAGTGCAAAGGAAAAACACTTTGCAAGCTGTCAATAGGGGTGTAGGAAAGATTGGAGCGTTGTTTTGGTATCCTCCAAGCTCGTTGGGTGATTGTCAGGGGTGCTACCAGATTTAGAGTCGCTTCGATCCATCATGATGATGTGCATCATTCTTCACAACATGATTGTGGAAGATGAGTATGATTATGATGCCGTTGATGAATATGAGCCAGACACAATGAACAATTTCAGAACATAAATATATTGTGCTCATGATGCCACCGAAAAACCCGTGCAACACAAGCCATTACAAAAGGATGGATGTTACAATGAAAGGCTCGTTCAACGATATACTTCACTTCAGGACTCATACATTCACAATACCCGGCAAATTGACTTGATAAAGCACTAGTGGGAATTGAAACAAGCTCAAGAAACTTAAGTTCATTTAGTGTGTTTGTTTTTATTTGATGTGTTTATTTAATTTTATTTGGTGTTTTTCTTAAGTTCATTTCGTGAGTTTTTTTTTTTTTTTGGTGTGTTTGTAATTTTATTTGGTATGTTTATGTAATTTTATTTAGTGTGTTTATATCCTTTGAATAAAGATTCTCTTAGTTTAAATAAAGTACCAAAATAAATAAATATACTCTTAGTTTAAATAAAGTACTAAATTCAATAAATAAGAAATTACAACTCATAGTGATTGAAAAATTATGGGCTCCGATTAAAAACAAATTCCCTAGTCCCTCGTGAATGGAAAATCATCACCTAACCAATTTGTGGTGCTAGGACCATCTTCTCTTGTGGTGCTAGAACCATCTCCTCTTGCTCTCGCTTCTCTTGCACGCCTCCTTCTCATGACGTCATCTTTCTCTGAATTCCAAAAATATTTAGAATTTAGAGACATCACCTCTATAGGCTCCTTCATAATGTCACGATCTTGTTGAGCTCTTCTTTCTTCTTTAAGTTCTTCCCTTTCTTGCCTAAGTAGCTCTTTTTCTCTCTCATTAGCTTGAAATAATCTCTCAGCAGCTGCAGCTTTTGCCTCATCTCTAACCTTATTAGCCTCAAATTTAGCCATTTCCGACGCCAAAGTCAATTCACCTTGCCGAGCAAGTTCTTCCATATATTTTTCATAATCATTCTTGGAAGCACTCCCTTTTTCTCTTTGAAGCCTTCTTACCTTAAGGTCTAATTGGATAACGGGTCGACCCCAACCCTTGTTCAGGGGTCGCTTCCAGCACTTGTTCTGTGTCGCTTTTATGAACATGCGAGTCATGATCGGACGTAAAGTGTAGAAGTGTGCTGTTCATGACAACTTCTGGACTGACAGGCACAACTCTGAATTTAGGACAATCTTTGACAATATTCCAATATCCCCATCGGGTGAATGATTTGTTTTTTTTTTTTGGCATTATACCAAGCTTGTTCTTGAAGTGTCTACATAATGCGGGATAAGAAATAATTATAATCAAAGTAGCTAATGTAAATTTGGGTATAGTACAAACAAATAAATAATATATTGTTACTTGATCCTCGAAATTTTCCCCACTTCGAATATTACTACTAGCTTATGCCAAGGCATTTCTCCAATGAGTAAATGATTGGCTGAGTATTCTCCAACAATTGGACATAATTTATCCGCCACTAATTAAATGATGTGTTGGATATAATTTATCCGACAAGATTTTTCTAATATTCCCCACCTAAAGCTAATATTGTAGTAGTGCTAGAATATTTGGGATTATTTTAGGCTCCACTTTGAATCATAATTGATTGTTTAATGTTTCATTAAATTGATGACAATACGAGTATGAGACCCTTATATGTATTAACTACACTAAGAAAGAATCAAAGCAATAAGGAATGTAGGAAAATGAAGAACTTGAGAGAGAAACAATTGAGAGGGAGAAAGGGTAAGTTGTATGAATTATATTTCAGACTTAATGAATTGGATCCTTACAATTATAAAGTTTTTATACACACATATATCTAGCTTAAAGCTTCCTTCTTAGACTTCTAACAGACTAACTAATCTTTGTAACAATTTAACAGCTTTAGTATGACATGGCATCCTCACTAACTAACCAATGATGAGATGTCATTTATTGATAATAAACATCCCTCTCAAGGAGCAAGATTTTCTTCCCTCCTTTTTCCATCATCTTCCGTCCCCTCATCCCACACTCCTATTTTTGTCTTATTGTCTCATATAAAAATCAATATAAGATGTTGACGTGGCTTCATAATAATCGTTCAAGTAGGAGGGGAGGGAAGGATAGAATCCTTCTCCCAATCTCGACTGGGGTTTCCAATTTGAGATTGCATGAGTGCTTTGAGAAATGCAAAACTATGAAGTCCTTACTATCCGTATACTCCTAGCCCTGCCGCCTATCATCAATTAATCCTCTATGGCTGCAAGCATTGAAAAGTACTCAAGAACGGTGCAATTTCATACTCGTCGATCACCTTCCTAAAGACGTTCAGCCCCTCAAAGTGATGTCTACATCTCTGTAGCTACTACAAACCAAATATAAATTTGCACAGCTAGCTTGAAGGCATTTTAAACCACAAAAAAAATGTACATATCCAACTGGTGCAAAATAAAACCCTGTATCATCCTTTCAATCACACATTACTTTTGCACATAATAGCTTGAAGCATTTTGGTCGTAAGACTTCAACTCTAGGATACCATGAATGCTAAACAAATGCGCAGTAAAAGACATGAAAGCTGTAGAATTGTATAAGCTCAGCTCAATGAATGTATGTTGAGTGAGTTTTCCACGTTAATTGATAGCCATTACAAGATGAGTTTGTTACAAGTATGATAAATACAAAATAATCAAAAAGATTTTACCGAAACAACTGTTTGTATTTCAAAGTTATGGAGATAACTCAGATAAGGATGGACTCTTTTGTCGAGACTGCAGTGGATGAGTTTGATATTCATTCAAACTTCGGTTGTGAAGAATTGGGTGGGAGCCTTGGTTATGAAACGGGCTAACGTGGAACTCTTGCTAGGGTTTGTTGATGTGGTAAACTGCTCAGGAAATTGATTTGTACATTCATCGTTTCTTTATTTTTTTACTTTTGTATTAAATAAATAAAGAGAGCTACTAGACCCACTCCACAATCCTATTTCCCCACCCCACTCAAAAGGTAAAAATGAAAAACACTCTTTTCCCATCCACTGATATTCCTGAACTATCCCTTACAAAGAAAATTAGCAACCGCCACACATCCACCCACTCAATAGTAAGCAACCCCCTTTTCACTATCAACCAACTATATCTCTAATTTAATCAAGACTATGAGGATGAGCAACATCCTCGATTGACCTCGTAGTTGATCTCTACAATTACAACTCAAGTAGAGGACTAATCGTGGAAGAGGGGTATCAAAACCACATCAATTAGATGAACTAAGCACAGTTCCACACGGATTGCCGAAACTATAAATGGGTATGAGAGAAAAAGAAAAGGAGTAAGTTTTCTTAAGGTAATTGTAATGGGTCTATGGTGTTTGATGAAGATTTTGAATGGATGGGAAAGAATTGACATAAGAGATGAGGAAAACAGTGGATTCAACTTGGTTGGTGCAATGTGCGGTGTTTTCAATTTACTGGGCTCATGTTTTTGTTCCTTCTAATTTTCAGAATTTAATACAAAAATAAAAGAATAAAATAGTTAAAGATGGCCTTATAAGTCATTTGCAAAAGGTTAGAGTTGTTATTAAAAGTATCATTAAAAAGTGGGGGGAGAAATAGTGTTTGTGGGCAGGTGTATCATCTCCTTTATTTTATTAAAAGATGGGTAGAAAAATAGGACAATCGAATGGGGTTAGTAGCACTCTAAATAAAAAAGAATCGTTCTTTCTTCACTTTTCTCTTTCTAATTTTTGGACCAAATAAATAAAAAAGAATCAAACGGACAGAAAAACGAATTAAAAAAATAGAAGAGTTGTGAAAATCACTACCCAAACGCTATCTGCTTTTAAACTTTAAGGCCTGTTTCACAAAAGCTGACACACCCCGAACGAGGTCAGGGCATGCTGGCCGTCACGTGAAAGTGACGTAACCATGTGCACAGTGTGGAAGCAATTAATATAGTAATAGAAGGAGTACGAATAAATAAAAGCTAGTTTACATAAAGTAATAAAAACAAGTGCTAGCGTAAGTGAGACGCTAAGTTCAGAGCCAAAACGCCTAAAGCAGTCCAAAAGGAAAAGATGCGACGATAATACACCCGAAGGTGGCCCTACGCTGGTGATCGTCGGTCAGAAATGCCGGGAAAGCCCTCTGGGAAACCACCAAACTTGCTAGCTAGTTAGAACCTGGAGGGGCGCAAAACAAAAGCGTGAGTGGGCAAAAACAAAGCTTTTCGAAAACCATTTAGCAAAATAAGTTCTAACCCCTCGCTGTAAAACCTGTATACTTCCCAGAAAATAGATATATGTATATACACCAATCATGCTCAAGAATATGCTATGCCAAAACCTCAAAATGAAATGCAAGTGCTCAGGTATAAACCATATCAACAACATATAACTGGCAGCCAGAGTCACCTAAAGTGACCTGTACGGCTGAATCTAGAGCTCAAATCTCAATCACAATAACTAAACCTGCCCACGAGTCGGAACCACCTAAAGTGGTATGTACGACAGGCCTGGGTGTAATACATATGAACGCTCTAGTGCTACGATCACGTGAAGGCTGTGCGAATAATCGCCGGTCACCTACGAGTCGGAACCACCTAAAGTGGTCTGTATGACAGGACTGTGCACCTAACTTGGATCCAAGCTGAGCGTGTGGTGCGGGAGGTGTGTTAGCTACATTGTAATGTTTGGAAATTGAAAGAAAATCAAGAAGAAAGCTGAAGAGAAGAAAGATCAACACAGAGAGTTTTACAGAGAGATAGATTTAGAGAGAGAAATATGCTTTTGTATTGATTGATAGAATGAAGGTTACACAACTGTTTTTATAAGGGAGAGCCTAACTACTCTAACCAACTTACTAACTGTATTGCTAACTTGTATACTTAATACTCCCCCTCAATCTCAACTGGGGAAACCCAGTTTGAGATTGGAAGAACATCTACAATCACTGAACACAATGTTGAACCATCTGCAATCTTGCAACCCCACACCAAAGTCTCATGAGCAACTCTTTTGACACACCAAATTCCTTATCGAAAACCTTGGTCCCGCCAGCCACAGCCACTTCCAAAGCAGCAACCCTCTCTGTGAACTTATCAACCTAGGCTATGATTCTAGCAATTGCATGAGAATCTTTTGACATCACATTGCTTTTGCCTTCAACCTGTCCATCATTGTTTAGCATCTCTTTGCTATTAACTCCAACTTCTCCAGCATGGATTGGCATCACTAAACTGCGCTATTTCATATTGGTTCTTTACAAAGAACTTTAGCCCCACAAAAAATTCAATATTCATCTGCCTCTCGCAGGAGTTTCAATCGAAGAACAGCCTCTTATAAAATTGTAACACACCCTCAGGCCGGTTATAACAACTTCTTGCGGGATTACCCTTCGTGGGATTTACCGTCAACAACTTCATTTAACATTGGCTTCGGCCTTTAAACAGAAAAGTAACAAACTATAGTGTGGCATCGGCCTTAACTATAGCACCACGGGATCGCCCTTTGTGGATTTTACCAAAATACAACTACTCTTAACAGTGGCATCGGCCTTCACAATTTCAACAACAGAAAATCAACATCTATGTAGGATTACCCTTTGTGGGATTGACCTACTTACATCACGGAATTACCCTTCGTGGGATTTACCGTTTACAACTTCATCAAACTTCATCGTATAACCGGACTTACTGTAGATTCATGCTAACAATTGAGTTGGTTAGACTCAACATTATAGGCTGTAATAAGGAAAATACTGCACCACTCCTCAGTTAGCTGCTGAACAATCTTCTTAGACATTACAGTTCTGAATTTTGACACAAACCACAATCGGAACAACCACAAAATTGTACATACCAGAATGCAAGAATTCACACGCATTTTTCCAAATATATCAAGAGTTGCAGAAAGATCAAACCCAATAACCTTGCAGACCATCAGTGAAGCAGAGATAGAATTGGACACCACCATACAAATTGCACAATCCATCAATAACCAATATTCTTGAATCCAAATATCACAAACATAGAAATTAAGCAGAAGTGGCTAAAAAACTTAACCTTCTCGAAAATTCTGAGCTTGGCATTTCGTCAAACACTTGGGCTGCACATAGGTTTTAAACATTCTTCCATACCAGAGAACAGAGCACAGATCAAAATCCCAGAAAATAGAATTCAGAAAGCTGCACCACCAAGATGAATGAAGAAGCAAATAATCAATAGTGCAAAGAAAGCAAACTTTATTCTCAGTCACATCTTGTTTTCAAGCACCAAGAAATCAAAAGACCGACGGTGGAGCGAGATCTTTCAACTTTGGCCAAAAAACATGTATAAGCTGAGTATACAAACATTGCAGCATGTATGTTCCCTTAGTTTTCGTATTCCAGTATTCCCCAGCGAAAGCCCTCTCGGTTCCCTTTTTACGAGTAATGTAAAACTGTTCCTCTGTGAGTTTCTCCTTCCATTCTTGATCACTTACAGATTTGTAATCACCAACACCTGTCCCTTGAGCTCTGTCTGGGGAAGAAGCAGATGAACCCATTACACGACGAACATAGGAGAAAAGCCTCTGGGGTTTGACCAAAGATCGGGAACCCAAAATTAATTTCTTGGATTTCAAGCCAGATACGAACTGGGTTTTGGGGGAAATGCGAGCAGCTTTTGTGGGTAAGCTCGAACAAAAACTAGAAGACGCCATTGACGACCTTGAAATTGAGCCCTCTTATACCTTTCAAAGGTCCTGCAACAACCGAATGCGAGCAGATGTCACATGTCACCATCCTCTGATTATTTGAGCTTGATTCTACAATCTCGAACCATGATTGCGGAGGTTCTCTCACAACCCAACGAAGTCAAGAAGTCGAGAATCTGACCCCTACAACTCCGGCTTTGACCAAATCCTTGACGTCATCGACAACCTACTCGCCGCCAAACGCCAAAACCCATCTGACTGGTACACCGGTCTTAAAAAAATCTCGACCCAAATCCGCAAACCCAACTCTCATCCAAACCCAGTTCAAGAAACTCAGGACTGAGTTCGCAAACCCAGCAAGAACTGGAAAAAAAAAAAAATCAAAAGCAAAATCTACCCAAAAATTTGGAAAGAAAATAAGCTAGAAATAGAGGGAAATTAATGAGAAATGGAACCACCAGAATCAATGGCGTGAGCCTGGTGGCTCTGATACCATGTTAGCTACATTGTAATGTTTGGAAATTGAAAGAAAATCAAGAAGAAAGCTGAAGAGAAGAAAGATCAACATAGAGAGTTTTACAGAGAGATAGATTTAGAGAGAGAAATATGCTTTTGTATTGATTGATAGAATGAAGGTTACACAACTGTTTTTATAAGGGAGAGCCTAACTACTCTAACCAACTTACTAACTGTATTGCTAACTTGTATACTTAATAAGGTGAACATCACGTGAAGGACTGTGCCCTACTCTGGGCGGGAGCACGAACACCGGGGGTGCAGGTTATGAGCTCTCTAAGCATCTCTAATCACTATTGAATGCAAATATTAAATAACGCTTACCTGGCACTTACCTGTGCATCCACAGCACCAATTATGCATACGTATATATATATACGACTAATAAAGCAACTAATGATGCATAAGTAACGATAATATAACACATGGCATATAACTAATAAGCATTTAAATCAATTTCTGGGAATATATAAGTATATAGGTATATACGGAAAACCAAAAGCCCACTCACTGATAAGTGGAAGGGTCGTAGCCCCCCTGCCTTGAGTGACCACGTTCGTCCTCGGGATATGTCTCACCTATATGCGAAATAACTATAAAAACGTTAATTTTAAAGCACATAACCAAACTTTCGAAATAACTTCTCATACATTGCTCAAATGGGGCAAATGAATATACCAACGTGCTCTACTTGACCTCAGGATCACACCCAAATTTTTAGAAAAAATTTTCACCGCCGCACGCGCCCCCACGCGCCGGCCACGCGCAGGCACGTGCCTGGCACGCTGACGGCGTCAACTGACGCCGTAGGGAATATTCCATTAGTTCTAACGGATTCCGTCAACGGCGTCAGGAATATTCCGTCTCCTTCCCCGACGAACCTCCGGCGCCGTCGTCGGCGCCGGAAAACTGGAAAATTTTCAAACGTTTATATCTCATTCGTTTTTCACCCAAATTTCGCGATTTTGGTACCAAAATGAAGCCTAGAACTAGGGGAACACAATTATACTACTTTCAAGGGTTAAAAACCATGAAATCTCACCTGTCCAAACCACCTAACTCCGGCCAACTCCAAATACAGTGATCCCGACGTCCAATTCCTTCAAACGAACTACTCCGAGCCTCCTTGGGACCTCACCAAGCTATCTACAAGCTTCATTTTCCCTAAAACGTGAGAAATCACGTGTGCATGAATAGTACCCCAAAACGGACATTGTGAAATCAACGTGAAAACGATGGAGTTCATACCTGAAAATGGTACGGTTGGACTCCCACGAGCTTCACGAAATCGAATATGGGTTTAGTTTCTTCGATCTATGGAGGTGTAGTGTGCTTGTGTGTGTGTCCATACGTTTTCGAAGAAAAAGGGAAGGAATGGGGAAGGGAACTGGGCATGGGATAGGGGGTACAGGGCAGGGAAAGTGTGTAGGTGTAGGTTAGTGTGTGTGTGGCTCACAACAAGCCAACGAAAACCCAAAACAACCACAACACGAAAAGAAAACGCACTAGGGGCAATTTTGTCTTTTCACACGTACGTTAAAATGTTTCTGGGACGGGCTGTCACAAAAGCACTTTGATACAATTTGATCTGCTTAATTCAATCTAAATGTAATGGTAGGAACACTAAATTTGTTAACAAAATTTTGAAAACTAAACGATATTAAACATTAAATTTGTAGACAAAATTTGTAAACTAAACAAAATGAAAATTAATGATTTGATTATTACTTAAACTTTGATAAATGTACTCATTTCTTATTAATAATACACCATTTAGTTTGAAAATTTTGTCTACAAATTTAACCTCTATGGTAGACCTGGCAATTTCTTACACGACCCGTTAATACAACACGTAAACGACACAAAAATAACGGGTTTCGAGTCAACACGATAACTAATCGAGTCATTATCGGGTCACATGATAATAATCCGTTAATAACGGATCCTAAACAGGTTTACACGAGAGTGACACGCGGATAACTAGTTTTGACACAATAAGAAAAAAAATATTTTGATGATTTTAATTTTTAAACTACTAAAACAAACTTACTATAAAATGCAATAGATATAATGAATATGTATATATTGTTTATTAATTATTACTCTATTATTATTCTATATAAATTTTAAAATTTAAGTTTTATTTATTTATTTATTTTTGTGGTATATTATAGACAAATATTGAGATTAAAAATCATAAAACACATTAAAAATAAAAATATCAAGTAATTTAAAAATACCAAACACATTAAAAAAATTATAATAATTAATTTACATGTGCGAAAAATATGAAAAAATATGCAAACGCTCGTAGTCGCATCCTTTACGCTTTGAGAATGGGTATATGATCGCTTGAATTTTTAAAACCATACAAACTCTCATGAATAGTATTTTTAACTCTCATGAATAATATTTTTAAGGGAGTTCAAAATTCATAATTATTAATGTATAAGTATGAAAGATGTGAAAGCATAATAAACCTTCATAATTGCATCCTCAACGCTTAAACGATGGTTACATGGCCGTTTAAATTTTTAAAACCCTCCAAATCTCATGAACAGTGTTTTTTATTTAAATGCAAAATTAATAAAATTAATAATAATTATTGTAGAAGTGTGAAAAATGTAATCACTTGTAATGAAAAACTTTACAATTTTCATAAGGAGTCAACTCCGAAATTTAGTATGTATATACTAATTTAGTATTATTTTACATTTTTTTGGATCAAATTATGTTTTTCATTTTCATTTTTTATTGATTTAAAATATATTTTTTTAACAGATAACGGATCAGATCATATTACCTAATAATGTTAATGGGTTGATTTCGGATCGGATCATATTACCCGTTTACTTAAACGGGTATTGCACAACACGACCCGTTAAGCTATCGGGTATGACACAAAAATGATACAAACACAAGAAATACAACATGAATACCAGGTCTACTCTGTGGTATTACTCCAAACAAAAAGAACTTCTAATTTATTTTATTTTTTGAAATGGCTCAAATATCACACACTCCATTCATACCTCCTTCCGTACTATTATTCCGAGATAGCTTAATTAAACAAGTTAATTAGATTATGCCAGAAAGCTCCAAAATAGAAGCCAAAGGATGGCTTTTCCCTCTTCTTCCCTTATGAGCTGGCACAAAGTACGATTCCTGCTGCTTCCCAAATATTTTTTCAATGTCTTGCCCAAATGCCAGCTGCTTAGCCTCCCTATCCATCTGCAGTATTATGTTGTCCTTTTGCCCTGCTTTTTCAACAAACCACAATTAGCTATACAGTTAAACATGCCCAATGGTTTTAATTGTCGAATCAGTTTGACACATACACCAAAATAGGGGTTTCAGGTAGATGAGTTCAATACCTAATTATTATGTGACTCCTACGTCCTTTAGTGTAAATATACTGTTTCTAACTTGATTAATCTACCTGCAAGGAAGTTCCTCGTGCTGTATTGGGCATTGAGTCCGAATCCCAGGATTCGGATGTTTTGGTTTTGGTTGCCGCTCTGGGTAACAAAGGCAACGGGATGACCAGCTGGGATAACGAAAGCATCACCAGGTGACAGTTGAGCATTGACCTTCATGAACCTTCCACTTTGTTCTCCCTGCTCCTGTTGCTCCATCGTCTCTTGGCCATGCATTTGGCTTGCCAAGTGGGGGCACCCCATTTCGACATGTACATTTCCTTCCACAACATATATGAGGAATGTAGCTTTTGAATTGAAGTGTGGCACCATCATAGTTTGCTGCAAAAAATTGATAAGATTTTCATTACCCACAGGTAATAATCCACATTAGTATACTGAAGCAAATTAGCGGACATCACAATTTTATAAATCATTATGGCTGAAATCATCAAATTAGGCTAGATATAGTTGACACATAAAAAAAGTATTAATCATTTAAACAATTAAGATTTTGTATTTTTTTCGTTGCAGCTAATTTCCCTTTAATTAATTTGTTTTGGGATTAATGGTGAATTACTTGGTTCATCTCAATGCAACTGACTGAGACGTCCATGTCCTGGAACTGATTGAACTCTTCAGGGCGAGCCTCAAAGAGCTGGCCGTAGTTGTTGGAGTGCACAGGTTTTAGTTGTCTCAGATTGAACGGACCCTCAGACTGTCGGCGTCCTTCACGCCTGGCCGAAGAAGCACGCTGACTCAATGCCTCAAGTTGCTCCTTTGGGGCTCTCATGACTATGCCTTGGCCCCCTTGTTGGCCCCTTTGTTGTCTAAAGCCCTGCTCCAGCTCTTTTCTTGGGGTCTAATCAAATAATTAATAGTTGTAAATTAGAGCCTAATTAATCTATGTGAACAAATTAAATCAAGTTATAACTTACATTGAAGGCAGATTCAAGAATGTCATTGCTAAAAACGCTGAAGTACGACTCGGGATTTCCAGAACCAGCAGGGAAGAATTCCTGAAGAAAGTTAAAGCAATGACATAAATTACCAACCCCAAATATTAAAACCAAA